TCCCTCCCTCGCCTTGTGGGCTGAGGCAGGTGTCAGGAGAGATGAAGAACAGATGCGTTCATGGCAGGTGGGCACCGCAGCCCTCTTTGCCTTCATCCCTGCGAGTGGGGGCAGGAAGCTGGGCCGGATCAACTCCTCCCTGTTTCCCTTACCCTTCCCAGGCTCCTGTGCAGTGGGGAGGACAGTTCAGAGGTGAAAGGGCAGGCCAAAGGCATCTGGGGCACCAAACTGAGGCCACAGGGGAAGGGGCTGCCTGCAGCAGGCAGGAAGTGGCTCAGAGTTTTCTAAACTTCCACTTCCAGCTCTTTCTGGGGTCACTCCTTCCAGGGGTGCACAGGCCCAAGGCCTGCCCCCTGAGCGAGCCACCCATACCCCCCTGCGTGTTATACCTGGGCTGCTGAGCCCACTGGGTGCCTACTTAAAAAAAACCCACTGGGTGCCTCCTGACCCCACCCCAGGTTAAACTCAAGAGAGCCTTAGGGGCCTTTGTGTCCCCAAAACGTCTCGTCCTGGAGGCTGACAAAGCCATGTTCTCTATACCGGAGTCCTCAGCCCCCAGGGCCACAGACTGGGTGGGAGCCTGCTGGGAACCAGGCCACACGGGGCAGGCAGGCATTGAGCAAACAGTTTCATCTGGCACAGCCACGCCCCATGGGTCCCACCGCCGCCCGAGCTCCGCCCCCTCAGATCAACTCCTCCTCGGGAGTTCAGCTGGGACAGTATCCACACATTCTCACCGGAGAGCCTGCCGGACCATAGACTGCACCCGCCAGAGATCCACCACCAGAGATCGAGGCTGCACGCCCTCAGAAACCACCCTCCCACCATACTCCCATCCATGGAAAAATTGTCTTCCATGACACGGGTCCCTGGTGCCAAAAAGGCTGGGGACCGCTGCTCAGCACCTTTCCTTTGTACAGATCCTCGCCCTTCCCAAATCCCCCCACAGTCACTGCCGCCTCCACAACAGCAGGGCTGCCATTTTTTTTTTTTTTTCGTTTTATGATAAGGAAACCCAGCGAGGTCGAGCAGTTGGGTTAGGGTCTACCTGAAAGGAACAGCTGAGCTACAGTGAGGACCCATGTTCCCTGGTGCTTCGGGTGCGGATTGGAGAGGGCGGGAAGAGCCACAGACGGGAGGAATTTTGAGACTGCAGAGCCTTTGGGGACCTCACTGCAGCAGGCCACTCCCCCGCCTCAGTTTCCTCGTCTGTAAAGTGGGAATGAGGAGATCGGGCCTGGCATCTCCAAGCTCTTCCTTTCACTCATTTTTCAGTTTGCTTCAGGGCAGGCTGGGAAGGAGCTGGAGAATGAGCCCTACCCTCCCACCCCCACCCCCACCCC